AAGCACTTCTCTGAGGGCCTCAGGGACAGTGTGACAATGTAAGGCCAAAACAAGTAGGTCTTGGAGAGAACAAAAGCTTGGATGCTGGCTTTTGGTGCCTTCAAAGGTTGTGCGAAGTCCCTACCTCTTGCCTCCCAAGAAGGCTTCCTTCTTTTTCAAAACTAAAACTGCTAAGTAACTGGAGATTAAGATAAAGAAACAAACCAAAAAGAAATCCTTTGCCACCAAAGAAAGTGGAGGCTAGACAGAAAGTCTAAGAGGAGGTTAACACTGGCCTCAGTCATGGAGATATGACAGGGTACCTGACACCCAGCTGAACTCTGCTGGGGCTCTTGCTACTGCTCCCTTCTTGCTAGAAGACAAGGAAATTCCTGGAGAATGGAGTCATTCTTGGATAACAGAGGGAGTCAAGCCTATACCCTTCCAGTACCAATGCTTTTTATGAAGATATCTGTTCCCCTTGCAGTAGGTCCTGTCTGGGAGACAATGGAATCAGAAAGTTCCACCATCTCCTCTGAGCCCCTAAAGGGTTCAGATTGCCTAGTGAGAGATTTCTTCAGTTTGTTGTGTGGGTTCTCCAGATGAATCTCTGCTTGTGACCTGAAGATCCAACAGCTCTTGCTTAAGAAACAAAATGCTCCATGGGATCTGGTAGGCCAGATCTCCATTTACTTCCAAGAGGGTTGTGAGAAGGAGCAAAAGTGCTCCTCACCACTATTACTGCTCGCTTTGTAGGGATACACAAAGTTTCTTTCCTTCCTTTCTCTCCAAAAGACTATTAGTGGATTTCTCTGCCAGAAAAAGTTAAATCTCTTCAATATTTTCATCTGGTTCCAATGGAAATATAGGTGCAAATTAAACCACAAAGTTCTAATGTGACTAAGAGAAAGGGCTGGAGGTTTGACATGTGCAGTTTGACCAGAGCTGCCAAGCTTGTAAGAATCATAGAATCACTAGGTTGGAAAAGACCTTAGAGATCATCCAGTCCAACCGTATCTGTCCGCCACTAAACCATATCTCTCAGCACCT